TGAAGTCCAATCAGCTTCCATATGCAAAAGACCAGGTTGTCGCAGCAGTTGTGGTGTGGGCGGGACCTGGGCTTTGCCTTCTGATTGGTGGCGATATATGCTGAGGAGCAGTGCCATCAGCCATACACTAAGGGAGTGCGTTTTAGAATTAGAACTTTGGCACCCACTATTCAATTATATATAAGGAGAGATTCGGTTTTCGGGTGGCAACATTCCATGCGCTCCCAAATCAGTTGGCTGCCTGATCTGTCACTCAGAAGGTGTGCCAATCCCCTGGTTGCGTTGTCTCAGTCCCGCTCACAGAGCCAGCAGCCAGCGTCTCGGCCTCAGTCTGGAGGAAGCCGGCAATGGGAATGGATGCTCCGCCGGGTGGAGGCTTAGGAGGCTGAGGCCAAAAATGGCAGCATTGCACTGGGCATCCTCAGCTGTGCCAGGGCTCAGGGAGTCAGCCGGGCTGCAAGCCCATGGAGGAAGTGGCCAGCCTCTTGCCCTCGGTGTGCTGCAAGGCCACGGACAGGCCCAACGATCCGGTGGCCACGCAGTAAGGAGGCCAAGGCCTACCATGCTACCGCCGCACCAGTCGCCGCCGCCTGCGGATGGCTGCAGGTGGCCGGGGCGGGCTGCGAGTGGATGAGGGCCAGCACCATAGATGACAAGGCGGCCAAGGAGGAGGGCCAGACCAAGATCTTGCTAGCGCTCATTGTATTCCTTTTACAACAGACTTTGCTACTAGTTCCATATAAAGTCAAGAGTCAAATTTCATAGCTCTGGGAGAAAAGTCAAAGGCAATCCCTGCTACATTATCTGCCTCTTAAACTCCCAGGGGGGTATTTGTTTGCATCAGGACTGGACCCTGGCTTGCGGGTGGGGGAGAGGAATAAACCACAGGAAGCCCTGACCTGGATAGCCCAGGCAAGCCCAATCTTATCAGATCTCGGAAGCTGAGCAGGGTCGACTCTGGCAAGTATCTGGGTGGGAGACCTCCTTGGAATACCAGCAGCTGGGAGGTGGGGGCAGGCTTTACTCAGCCACCTCTCTAAATATTCTCCGGGCCCCCAGTAGGGGTCAGTCAACAGAGGTCGCCATGACTTCCAGGTGCACACACACACACACACACGAAAAATACAAAAAAACCCCAATAAACCACAGGAAAAAGCAAAATGTGAAAAATAGTTTATATTTATGCAAACAAATATCTTACAAATATTTATCAATGGAGGTTTAAAAATCACTTTTATATAAGGTTGCCAACCTCCAGGTGGCGGCTGGAGATCTCTTGGAACTGCAACCGATCCACAGGGGATAGAGATCATTTCCACTTGGAGAAAACGGCTGCTTTGGAAGGCGGACTCTATTGGCACTAAACCCCACTGAAGCCCCTCCCCCTCTCCAAACCCCACCCTCCTCAGGCTCCACCCCCAAAGTCTCCAGGGATTTCCCAACCCGGAGCTGGCAACCGTACTTTTATACTTTAGAAAAACTCCAGAGCACGGTAAAGAGGGTCCAGACTACACTAGGAAGCAAAGTGCTCGCAGCAATGTTACTGCACATTCCATTAAAAAAGTGCATACATGGTTAATGTAAAAGCACTGTACCCATGTCCGTACGCTGTGAAGAAAAAGATTCCAGAAGCATTTAAAACACACACACACTGCGTTCTCAATCACCACGGATCTTTGCGATTGCTTTTACAGGATCATGCAGTAACAAGCTTGTTCTTTAAAAAAAAAAAAACAGACATTTTTCTTAAAAAATACAGATTTCTAGTTTAAAGAAGTAAAAGATTTTTTTTTAACAAAAGAGAACACGTAAGACACGTCCGCTTCATAAAACGGGTGAAGTTGTCCATAGGTGCCCCAACCCAGCAAGGGCACTGTCAAAAGTTTCGGGGGGGGGGGGGATGGATCACCCTTTGACATTTACAATCTGTGCTTGCTAAGGGGGGGGGTGTCACGGGGTATGGGGTAGAGAGGACTGCGTCCGGCAACCACGGATGTGCAAGCAGTGCTCCTTAACCCGCAAGCACACTAGAAAAATCCATGGGCACCATCAGCTTACAGTTGTGCATTGTCAAAGGCCACTGTGTCAACCCTCTCTTCAGTGGTGGGGGCAACCTCATTACGATAATGATTTATTATTTTTGCATTTCATTACATTATAGAGTGCTAACATGCTAGGTTCACCTCTCAGATTTCTCAAAATACTTTATCACTTTAAAAACAAACAAACAAAAAGAGAACGGGTGTAATCCCTTCAGAAATGTGGCCTGTACAATCCCCCCCAACCTCCCCCCCCAAACATATAACCCTGGAACAAATTCTATTTGTTTCAGGAAGGCCTGTGCAGATAAGTTACCAATGGACTACACCTATGATCCTCAGATATTTTAGTTCTGGACACTCTTCGCGATGTCAGTGGGACTACCCTGAAGTAAGTGGTTTGAGATTTTCAGTCGCTGTTCGTATTTTTTTGGGAAAAGAGGCCTTCTTAGAACTGTAGCTCTGCCCCTGTGTCCTATTGTCCTCGTGCCCTGAATTTGGATTATCTGGTCCTTAACACTATGAATCCAAAGTATAGTAAAATACGGGGTTCCTAAAGAATAAAAGCACTATGCTCAGCAATGCTATGATACATGCATAGCTTCTGCTATATTCTCAGTTCCTAGGAAGTGCTACATGTATATTCTGTTGATATTTTACACTGCTTCTTATTCACCAACTAGTATATTAAAGCAACAAAGATGTCTGTCCAAAGTGAAACCATGATCAACATCACAGAAAAGACTTAACGGTATCCCCACCTCACCCTGGCACACGCTAGAGCTTCAGCAATTTATAAAGCATAGAACCTTTCCATTCCGTTCGCGTTAACGTTTTGGTCACACAATTCAAAACATCGTACATTGATAGGACAAAGTCAGAGTCCAGGGGCGCCTTTAAGACCAACAAAGTTTTATTCAAGGTGTGCGCATTCGTGTGCACGCACACCAATGAAATGGAATGTCATGAAATGGAATTGTCTGAGGAAAGCTCACACCTTGAATAAAACTTTGTCGGTCTTAAAGGTGCCACCGGACTCTAAGTTTGCTCTGTTGCTTCAGACCAACACGGCTACCCACCTTGACGTATAGTACATCTATGTTACATGGGGGGGGGACCCTTGGTCACTCCACACATAATGCAATACCTTGGTCTTTAATTTCCTTCCTACCCACCTCCCACCCACCCCAAACGTGAATTCTAGGATCTGAGAGCATTCCAAACGAGTGCCTTCTATCTAATCTGCTTTTAATTTGTAGTTAATTTTTAAGCTCCTCATAAAGTCTCTTTGTAAATAAATAAGCTGCGTCATGGTTAGCTGGAAAATACCCATAACTTGGACCAAGGGTAAATGGGTGGGTGGAGTCAGGACTGTCCGGGTGGGTGGGGTGGAGGAAAGACTGTGAGTCTGGGCAGTCGGAGCTTGGAGCACCCCCTACTCTTGAGGAGAGCCGGCTGCCCTCGGGGCCATAAGACGGCACTCTCTAGGCACTAGAGACCTCGGGGGCATCGGAAGGCGAAGGGTCGTCACCGTCCTCCTTCGGCTCGCGGGAACAGCACCGCAAGACACTATTCCCCAGAGTCTTCTGAGCAAAGCGGAAGTACATGATGTGGCCCATGGCGACGAAGGAAACGGAAATAAGAACCAGCAGTCCAAAAGCTTCAGGGTTGGGGGCGAGGATGACCATGATGAAGTGCAACAAGTCCAGGAGGTAGTTCATGGAGTTCTGGACGCCGTTGATGATGCCCCTTTCGGATTCGATCACGTTTTCCTGGAGGAGCTGGGTGACAGTCAGGTCGAAGGACCAAAGGCCTGAGAGAAGAAACGGGAGGAGAAGCGATTATTTCCTGCTTGGTAAAAACAGACGTTGGTAAAAACATCGAGAACCAGTCTGGTGCATTGGTTAAGTGCGCGGACTCTAATCCGGGAGAACCGGGTTCGATCCCCCACTCCTCCACTTGCACCTGCTGGATGACCTTGGGCAAGCCATAGTTCTGTCAGAGCGGCTCAGGGACAGTTCTCTCAGAGCTCTCTCAGTCCCACCTGCCTCACAGGGTGTCTGCTGTGAGGAGGGGGAGGAATTTGTAAGCTGCTCGGAGAATCCTTCAGGTAGTAAAGGGCGGGATATAAACCCAATCTCTTCTTCTTCTTCTTCTAGATGCTTTTGCAGACCCAGAAGGAACTTTACAGAAAGCACCTTTAATCGGTTCACACACCTTATATCTTTACCATTCAGCCGCTGACAGATCTTTAAGACTGGCTCAAACGCCATTTATTTTTGTTTTCAATTACTTGAATGATCAGCTCGAAATGAGCAGATAACTTGTAACGGCAATCTTTGATTCACCAAAGACTTAAGGATCATTTTGTCAATGTTTCCTTCGTAATTTACTAAGTACTGCATTGTGTTGTATTTCAATCTCCAATAAACAGTTTAGGATTTGAAAATAAAACCACAGACGAGCCCTGACAGGACAGCCCAAGCTAGGCCGCTCTTGTCAGACCTCAGAAGCTAAGCCGGGTCGGCCCTGGTTAGTACTTGGAGGGGAGACCAGTAAGGAAGTCCGGGGTTGCTATGCAAGAGGCAGGCCGTGGTGAACCACCTCTAATAGTCTCTCGCCTTGAAAACTCTACGGGGTGGCTGTAAGCGATTGGCAACTCGACAGGACTTTCTGCCATCACCAAAAACAGATCGCCACAAAAGGAAGAACTCCTTCCTTGTGCGCTGTTGAAATAGGGTTCCCAAGTCAGATCTTCACACCAGCAGGGGACTCCCGGCTGGTGTCTGGAGCGCACGCCGCATGCACGCCACCAGTAAGTGACGTGACGCCGACGGGCACGCTGGGGGCGGGGCCACGACCATCCGAGGGAAAACCATAGAGTTTTCCCTTGGATGACCGTGGCCCCGCAGAGAGTCGCCTTCCAATTTTGAAACAAAACGGGAATCTCTCTGCCTTCATTAAACTAACCAAGGAGGAAGTAATGCTTTATTCCCCCCCGCCCCGCCCCGCCCCCCGTTTGAAAGAGTTTCTGCTGCTTCTAAGTGAAAAACACCCACTTATCCGCTTTTTAAAAACAGGTATATTGACTGTCATTCTACTCGCTGGGTAACAAGAGATCACGAGGGTATCCCATGAAGCTGATGGGCAGTAGGTTCAGGACGGACAAAATTAAATGCTACTTTACACTAGGCTTACCAAATCTCGCAAAATCACGGCGGGGGATCCGCATGTCTTCGCAGAATCCGTGCCGCGGGGATGGCGAGACACGTTGCACCGCCGTCGCCAGGACATAACTGTTTGGACGCGTAGCATCACATCCTGGCGCCGGCGGGTGCAACGCATCTCGCCGTCCCTGCAGCATGGATTCTGTGAAGACATATAATCCCCCGCCGCGACTTGGCAACCCTACTTTACACTGAGAGTGATTAAAATGTGGAATTTGCAGCCAGAGGATGTTGTGATGGCAACAGGTATAAAAACAGCTTTAAAGGGGGGTTAGACAGATTCAGGGAGGAGAGGTCTATCAATGGCTACTAGCCATGGTGACTGAGGGGAACCTCCACATTCAGAGGCACAAATCCTCTGAATCCCAGAGCTAGGAGGCAACATCAGGGGAAGGCCTCGGCCTCTGTGCCCTGTTGTTGGCCCTCCAGAGGAACTGGTTGGCCACTGCGTGAGACAGGATGCTGGACTAGATGGACCTCTGGTCTGATCCAGCAGGGCTCTTCTCATGTTCTTATGTAGTTGTTATGACGAGATGTGAATTGTCAAGTCTTTATTTAATTAAAAAAGAAAACAACAGCCCCAAAACACTGGCTATCTCACCCCTTTCTTGGCAAGCATTCCACAGTGATAAAAAGTCCTGCCTCGCTGTAAACAGGCCTTTCAGACCAAATGTCAAGATAATATCGCCAAAGTCGTCCTGCTCCCAAGCTTTCTATTTTTTGCTTCTCATATTGTGCAACACCCCGTACACGAGGAACATGAGCCTGCTGTTTTCGGGTAAACAATTCTCCTGCCATATCGCGGTGGTCAAGAACCACGGCAGAAAATACCTGAGGCTATTAACAACCGGTTTAAGCAAAAGTATCCGTCTGATCCTCTCTTAAAGCCACCTATGCAGTGAATTCCACACTGGGTGTCACGGTGGCCACAGGAACAGATGGCTTTAAAGGGGGATTGGACCAGGGGGTCCCCAACCTTTTGACCCTACGGGCACCTCTGGAGTTCTGACACAATGTGGTGCGCTACAAAATGGATGATGATGAGGAGGAGATTGGGTTTATACCCCGCCCTTCACTTGGAGTCTCAGAGCAGCTTATCAAACTCCTTTCCCTTCCCTTCCCCCACAACAGACACCCTGTGAGCAGTGTTCCCTCTAAGCTGAGTTAGCATGAGCCAGCTCAGTTTTTCAGCCTCCGGCTCACACCTTTTTTTTTTTTTGGTCTTAGCTCAGGAAGGATGGCTCCAGAGCAAACTAATTTCTACAGTAGCCAAATTGCTCGCTCACAACTTTAATGCCAGTAGTTCACAAAGTAGAATTTTTGCTGGCTCAGGAAGGATGGCTCCAGAGCTTAGGGGGAGCATTGCCTGGGAGGTAGGTGGGGCTGAGAGAGCTCTTCCCAGAACTCCCCTTTGAAGGACAGCTCTTGTCCGACCTATGGCTTGCCCAAGGTCACCCAGCAGCTGCAAGTGGAGGAGAGGGGAATCAAACCCGGTTCTCCCAGATTTGAGTCCGCGCACTTAACCGCTACACCAGTGGCCACCCTAAAATGGCCGCCGCAGCTTCCCTTCAGTCGCCCAGTGGAGATCCTTGTGCTGTGGTGGCAGCTGCTGCCAAAACAATCTTTTTTTAAAAAAACCTGCACTGTCAATCAAACCTCCGATAGCCAATCAGAAACCTTGGACAAAAGCTCCACTCCGCCCTGCCCACTTTTAAAAAACACTTGGTGGGTGTCAAGAAAAGTGTTGACGATCGCTGCGGCTAGCGATCCCCGGATTAGACAGACTGATGGAGGAGAGAGGTCCATCGATCGCACCCAGCCAAAATGACTAAAGGGAACCTCTCCCAAGCAGGCCCGTAGCTACAGTCCGGTATCTCGGGACCCCTCCCAACTTACTGCCCAGGCCTCCCAGTTTTTCGCCCAGCCGGGTGGAGAGCGACATTTCAGGTTTTGTGGCGGTGGGGGGCTCAACCCTTCGCTATGCCTCTTCCTTGGTGGCTTGCATGAGAGAATGGGGGCTTCTATGGGGTGCTTCCAGGTTTCGGGGTGCGTGCGGGGTGTCCCCAACTTATTTAAAGCCCCCCCCCCGAATTAAAAAATCCTGGCTAAGGCTTGATGCCCAGAGGCAGTAGAACTCTGAATTCCAGAGCTAGGAGGCAACGTCAGGGGAGGACTGGGCCAGTGTTCCCTCTAAGCTGAGTCAGCGTGAGCCAACTCTCAGTTTTCTAGCCTCCAGCTCATACGTTTTTGTCTTGGCTCAGGAAAGACGGCTCCAGAGCAAATGAATTCATGCAGCAGCCAAACGGCTCGCTCACAACTTTAATGCCAGTAGCCCGCAAAGTAGAATTTTTGCTCACAAGCCTCCACAGCCTAGAGGGAGCATTGGGCCAGGCCCCTGGATCGGGGCACATATTTTTCTTGAGAGCGACAGAATGACAACGGTACGGCCACAGACGTCGACTTACCAATTCTAGCAGCGATGACTCCTGCAAAGAGGAGGCTAACAGAGACGAGAGGCACCGGGTTGGGAGCCGTCCCCAGATCAGTCCCATTGACAAACACAGATCCATTTGCCAAGAGGGGCATGGCGGTTGTAAAGGCCGTTTCAGGGACCACCGCTTCGGGCGCCATCGTTGGAAGCGGGCTGCTTTCAAACAATCTGGCGCTGATGTCCGCAAAGGGGGAAACGGAAAGGTCCAACGGGCTTCCTGGCATGAAGACTGAAATCACGCAGAAGACCAGAGAGGCAAGCTGGGCTATGCCGGAGATGATGCCCGTGCGCACCAGACCACACCTGCGGCGCAGCCAGGTGAAGGCCACTGTTCCCATGATTCCAGTGACGGCCGACGCCCCCATGAGGAGGCTTAGAGTGGAACCACTCAATCCCTGAGTATAGGCGTAGCCCGTGGTGATGCAGTCGAAGCCCAAAACTGTCATATACAGGAACGCCAGGCCCAGTCCCGCGAGAAACACTGGCTGGTTGTAGTAAGCGACCCATCCGTCCCGGAAAGTACTGAACGGCTCCGCCATCCGGGACCAGCAAGAGACCTCCTCCTCCTGAAGCTCGAAGACATTTATGTCTTTCCCTTCAATTAACTTGACTCCTTCGTTGGGCTTCGATTCACCCTCTGCAGACAAAAGACCAGGCTGTGAAGATTCTCAGTCATCCCTCGCATTTCGCTTAAATAGCATTTTATGGCCTACTTTGTTTCGAAGCCGTTTTGACCACTTAACTAAAAGTCCAACGAGTAAGTGAGCTTAGAATTCAGCCGGGACCATTGGCTCAGTGGGGAATTTGGCTTTACCCAGATTCAAAACAGCTGGCGTCAACCAGACTATGAAAAGCATGCTTAAATGCACCTGGGGTTTGGCCACTGTGTGACACAGAGTGTTGGACTGGATGGGCCACTGGCCTGATCCAACATGGCTTCCCTTATATCCTTATGAGGGCCTTCGATCCTGACCCTAGAACATGTGAAAATAAGTGTTCTTGGTTCTATTGGGAGTGTCCCTTACGGGTATTAGTTCTACCTGGAGAAGCTCAAAATGTTGTTTTACATTTAGGGGGAAATCACAATTAGAAATCAGAACGCTGTTTTGCTTCCCTGCTGTTAAAGCCAACTAGCAACCCCAGTCAGTATCTGTTCATCCAAACCTCAGCTTCCACAAAGAGCTCTAAAGAGAAAGGTTATTTCATTTACGGCATTTATTTCTCCCCCACGGGGACTCAAAGCGGCTGACGTGGTTCTCCTCGCCTTCATTTTATCCTCACAACAAACCTCTGCGGTAGGTTAGGAATCTCATTGGGTGACCTTGGGCCACTCACACACTCTTGGCCTAACCTACCTCACAGGGCGGTTGTGAGGCTAAAACAGAGCAGAATGACGTAAGCCCATTTGGGTGGGATAGAATTAAATAAATAAATACATTTTTTAGGAAAAAGAGGGAGCAGTGATGGCCACAAAATAAAGAATAAAAACAAGCCTCCACAGGATTACAGACCTTGAAAATGGTTATTATTTGAAACCAAAACGGAGCAATAAATGTTGGAAAACTCGTAAGCGAGGGGAGAAACTGGATCAGTTTCATTTGGTCGAAAATGCTCTCAGCAGCACTGATACCTTTTGGACTGTTCAGTCGCTTCAGTTCCGACTCCTCGATCTTGCTGCTGGCTTTGTGGGCCAAGGCAGGTGTCTTTTGGTGGACTTTCCAGAGCAGCAGGTATTCCACGCACATGGATATCAAGTTCCAGCCAGAGATGAACCCGCAACCGATCACCGGCGAGCCGAAGGTCATGATCTGCCCGACGGCCATCGGGGCCAAGATGTTGGTCAGCTGGTCGATTCTTCGTATCGTGGCGTTCATATCTATCAGGCGACATTTGAAAACACAAGATTGGTGTGTGGCATTTTAGAAATTGGTAACGCCATTTAAAAACACGTTTACGCTGTAACGCCAGGGGACCCCGGACCTTTCGAGCCTGAGGGAGCCTTGGGAATTCTTTACGGTTGGCGCAGGCACAAAATGGCTGCCGCAGCAGGCAGAAACAGTCACAAAATGGCCGCCTCAGCTCACCTTCGGCAACACAGTGAAGCTCCTTCTGCCGTGGTGGCAGCTGCTGCCAAAGAAACATTTTTCAAAATCTGCACAGCCTGTCAGAACGAAGCCTTGCTGGGCAAAAGCCTCAGATGGCATTGCCCACTTTCTAGAAATATTTGGCAGGCACTGATCCAACATGGCTTCTCTTGTGTCCTTATGAGGGCCTTAGATCCCAATCCTACAACATGGGAAAATAAGTGTTCTTGGTTCTATTGGGAGTGTCCCTTAAGGGTATTAGTTATACCTGGAGAAGCACAAAATGTTGTTTTTCAATTAGGGGGAAATCACAATTAGAAATTGGTGGGGAGCCCTGCTGCACATACCAATTTCTAAACCTCTGAGTGGCATTTATTTCACAGGAGTAGCACCCCTGGAGGTGTTACATGCAAGGTGTCCCATTTACATGGAAGTTCTCCCAACAAGGAAAACTACCTTGTGTAATGGCTCTGATCCCCTTGAAGCAGAGAAGAGATTGGATTTATACCCTCTGGCCCTTCACTACCCAAAGGAGTCTCAGAGGGGCTTACAAACTCCTTCCCCTTCCCCTCCCCACAACAGGAACCTTGTGAGGTAGGCAGGGCTGAGAGAGCTCTTAACAAAAACTGCCCTTGAGAGAACAGCTCTGACAGAACTGTGGCTTGCCCAAGGTCACCCAGCAGGTGCAAGTGGAGGAGTGGGGGAATCAAACCGGGTTCTCCCAGATTAGAGTACGCAAAGAATACCAGCCCCCACTTTCCTGGCTGAAGAATTTCCCAGCGGGAGAGCAGATTGGTTTTTTTTAGGTCGGCGATATGCGCTTGGGCGAAGCTTCGCCCCGGCGTTTGTTTAAAAAAAAGAAAAGAAAAGGTCCTTAGTTTAACATTTTAGAGGAGTCCGGGACCTCAGGGAGGCCAGTTTGCTCTTTAAACTTTAAAGGTAAGTCCTCTCTTCAGGGCATGCTTTTCTGGACGGGGTGTTTTGCGCATACGCGAAGATCGCCGTTCTGTGGATGGCTACCTATGCGCATGGGCAAACGAAGTTAAAAAAACAACAACAAACCGCTGACGCCCGCTGTGTGTGAACGGGCATACAGCAATGGGCTCCGCAGACAGGAGGTGAGTGTGATCGCGTTTCAGCCGGCATATACTGCAACGGTTCCAACTGGTACAGTTTATGCCGGCTGAAACGCCCCGTCTGAACGCACCCTCAGAGTGGCTTACAGTATCCTTTCCCTTCCCCTCCCCACAAAAGACACCCTGTGAAGTAGGTGGGGCTGAGAGAGCTCTCTTGAGAACTGCTCTTGACAGAACAGCTCTGAGAGAACTTGTGACTGATCCAAGGTCACCCCAGCAACTGCATGTGGAGGAGTGGGGGAATCAAACCCGGTTCTCCCAGATTAGAGTCCACGCTCCTAACCACTACACCAAACTAGCTCTCTATGAGGAAAGAGAAAAAATATAAATAGTTAAATTTAAAAAATCCCTGAATACCCAAATTTCATGCGTAGGCCGAGGAGGGCTTTTAACTGTTTTTTAAAACCAAGGCGGCTTCTGAGGGGCTTGTAGCTGACTGGATTTGGTCAAAGTACTTTGTTTATTTGTTTAGGTACTTATCCCTCACTTGGATTGCTCTCAAGGAAGCGCACACAGGATACACAAGCGAAGGTTATTGAATAACACAGCCCTGCTTTCGTCTGGCTGCTGGGCCTTCCAAAGCTATGTGGAGAAATACTCCTCCTTCCTGAAAGCCAAGCCACTGGATTGCTATTTGAGAATGCCTCCTCTCCTCCTTGCACACAATTCTACCTGTAGCTACACTGCAAACATAATGTGACTCCAGAGTGACCCTCTGCCCTGCCCCCAGGCACCTTGTGAGGCAGGTGGGGCTGAGAGAGTCCTGAGAGAACCTGCACTGGCCCAAGGTCACCCAGCAGGCCTCATGTGTCTCAGACAATCACCTTCCCCTCCTCTCCCCACCACAGGCACCTTGTGAGGCAGGTGGGGCTGAGAGAGTCCTGAGACAATCGTGACTGGCCCAAGATCACCCAGCAGGCCTCATGTGTCTCAAGGCGGCTGACAGTCGCCTTTCCTTCCTCTCCCCACAACAGGCCCCTTGTGAGGCAGGTGGGGCTGAGAGAGCCCAGAGAGAACCGAGACTGGCCCAAGGTCACCCAGCAGGCCTCAGGTGTCTCAAGGCGGCTGACAATCGCCTTCCTGTCCTCTCCCCCAACAACAGGCACCCTTTGAGGCAGGTGGGGCTGAGAGAGCCCAGAGAGAATCGATACTGGCCCAAGGTCACCCAGCAGGCCTCAGGTGTCTCAAGGCGGCTGACAATCGCCTTCCTGTCCTCTCCCCCAACAACAGGCACCTTGTGAGGCAGGTGGGGCTGAGAGAGCCCAGAGAGAATCGATACTGGCCCAAGGTCACCCAGCAAGCTTCATGTGGAGGAGGAGTGAGGAATCAAACCTGGTTCTCCAGATTAGAGTCCACCGCTCTTAACCACTGCATGACACTGGCTCTCTTGATCTGCCTCTCAAGCCTTGTTCTGCCAGGGACAGCGATTACATACACATCACCTCCTCCCGTACTATCCAACCTGCCAGTTAAGATCTGCCTCTCAAGCCTTGTTCTCTCAAGAGCAGTTTCTGTCAGACCTCTCTCAGCCCCACTTGCCTCACAGGGTGTCTGCTGTGGGGAGAAGGAGAGAAAGGAGTTTGTAAGCTGCTGAGAGACTCCAAGTGAAGGGCAGGGTACACATCCAACTCTTCTTCTTCTCTCTGTGCCCCTGCCCTTCAGAGATGAGGCAGGTGGCGACTACAGACGGGGCATTTTTTGTGGTGGCACCTCTCGCCTTTGCGACGTCCTTCCCCTTGTGGCTCGCCCGGTGTCAGCCTTACTGACTTTTGGGCACCGAGCTAAAACATTTCCTTTCCCCCCAGGTTTTTAATTGGGGGGGAGGGTTATCTTTCCAGCTTTTAAGATAATTGTCTGCGGCCTGTTTTGTGGACAGTTTTTATGCTGTTCCTGTCCAATGCCTAGTTGCTTTGTATTACTCTGCTATTTTAAATTGTAAGCCGCCTCGTTCAGGACGCTGAGGAGTCGGCACAGAAACATTCTAACTGAAGAAATCCATCGACAACTGTAAGGCCTGGATTGTGGTCTTATGAGGAAAACAAAACAACATCCACGGAAACCAGTACAGGCGCGCTACCAGACTGGAGTCGAGCATTACCGTCGATTTCCTCAGAAGAGTTAAGAACATGCAAGCGGGTGAAATCCAGAGCAGTCTGGAAACTTGGGTTCGAATCCACATTCCACTCAGCTGCCAACTGCCGCCCTGGGGCCAGCCACTCCCTCTACACCTAGTTTACCTCACAGGAAGGGAGCGAAAGAGGAGACAAGCGAGCACATTGCCCTGCTTGCTTCGGAGAAGGGCGGGACCTCTAGGACTTCTCTAGCCATCGAGGCAATTTTCGATTCTTAAGCAGAAATCAAATCAATCCCCGGAACGCCACGCTGCATCCTTGACTGGGTTCTCGGAGACTATACAGGGAACGATCCCTTGAAGTGAACACAAGTGCCACATGGGAAGAGTCACTGGCTCACACCCTCTCAACATATCTGAGGGCACACTTTAATTGCTGAACAATGCCGCTCTATATTCTTGGCGTCTTTCCCTGCTCCGTAATGCCACCTTCCTAATTACTGGGGACCACACAGCGCATCAGTCCTTTGATGGGGTTTGTGGGCCCTGAGGAAGAAGAGCTCGGACAGGGATCGCCCGGGGTAGCCTGGTCCTGTCAGATCTCAGAAGCTAAGCAAGGACTGCCAAGGAAGCCCAGGGTTGTTACACATAGACGGGCAACAGCAAACCGACTCTGTTTATCTCTGCCCTGCCCTCGACGGCCCAGGCTAGCCAGATTTCGTCAGCTCTTGGAAGCTAAGCAGCGTCGGCCTTCGACAGTACTTGAATGGGAAATCAACAAGGAAATCCAGGGTTGCTACACAGAGACCAGCAATGGCCGACCACTTCTAAACTCTTGCCTTGAACAACCTAAGGGATTGCCGTAAGAAGAAGGAGAGAAGAAGAGATTGGATTTGTGCCCCTACCTCACAGGGTTGTTGTGAGGGTGAAACAGAGCCCCTACCTCACAGGGTTGTTGTGAGGGTGAAACAGAGAAGGGGAGAGCCATTTTGTCATAAGAGGAGAAAGAAGACTGGATTTATACCCCGCCCGTCACTACCCAAGGGAGTCTCAGAGCGGCTTACAAACTCCTTCCCCTTCCCCTCCCCACAACAGACACCCTGTGAGGTAGGTGGGGCTGAGAGAGCTCTGACAGAAACTGCTCTTTCTCAAGGACAGCTCTTATCAGAAGCATGGCTTGCCCAAGGTCATCCAGCCAGGTGCAAGTGGAGGAGTGGGGAATCAAACCCGGTTCTCCCAGATTAGAAGAAGAAGAAGAGATTGGATTTATACCCCGCCCTTCACTACCCGAAGGTGTCTCAGAGCGGCTTTCAAACTCCCTTTCCTTCCCCTCCCCACAACAGACACCCTGTGAGGTAGGTGGGGCTGAGAGAGCTCTGACAGAAACTGCCCTTTCAAGTACAGCTCTGGCAGAACTATGGCTTGCCCAAGGTCATCCAGCAGCTGCAAGTGGAGAAGTGGGGAATCAAACCCTGGTTCTCCCAGATTAGAGTCCACGCATTTAACCACTAGGCCAAACTGGGGCTCAGTGTTGGATCCCCGTTGGGGAGAAAGGACCAGCATAAGTGAAGTAAATACATTGTAAAAGTTATAAAAACTCACAACAGGAAGCATCGTGGAACAAATTTGTATCGTCTAAAACAAAATGTGCTTTTTGCTCTGGAACCCCTGTTTACTCACACGGAAATTTACAGAAGTTAAATCAACTAGAAGGCATAGATTCATAGACCAAGGTTTCTTAAACAGACCTGGTCAATTTTTAAACTATACTTAATTAGAGCCTTCAGGAAATGCGGACTATAATATCATGAAAAAATGTGAGGCGCTCTTAAGACATCGCAATTAAATGGTAGATAAACAAGCCGCTGAGCAGCATTTGTTTGCGTGCCATTCTGACCTTGCGTTTCAGATGAGAAAATGTCTGCAGGCGGACATCCTAAACATACCGAGTTGGCAATAAACCCTTCTGCAAACAATAGAACTTACTTCTGAGTAAACACGCCTAAACTAGGGTTTAAGGTCAGACGTATGGCAATATAATCCACTCCTCTTGGTTCAGAGGATTTTGGCACGAGCTCTTAAACTGATTATTTTTATTTTAAGTTATTTACAGTCCTCCTTTCTCATTGGGACACGAGGCGGATTACGCAGAATAAGATAGCACAATCAACAGGGTGGAACATCCCACAGACAGTGCAATGGGATTTGACTGGTAGAAATCTGGAGACAACCCGAGGTGGTCATTTCCTGTGGGAGCGCACAGGAGCGGAGCTCCGGCAATAAGGAGCCCAGGGGGCGGGCACATGCAACAAGCCCCACCCCCTGCTCCTAGCAGCTCTCAGTTGGGCCATGAGGAGCAAGAGGCAGCCAGGTAACTTGCAGAGCCTCCCCCCGGCCCGCCTTCAGGTACACGCTCTCCCTCCTCTGTGAGGGCAGATCTGCATGTCCCCCCCCCCAATAGGTAGCAATCCAGAACAGTCCAGTGGCACCTTTAAGACCAGGTTTTATTCAGGTACAAGCTCTCCCTCCTCTGCGAGGACAGATCTGCACGTCCCCCCCCCAATAGCTAGCAATCCAAAACAGTCCAGTGGCACCTTTAAGACCAGGTTTTATTCAGGTACAAGCTCTCCCTCCTCTGCGAGGACAGATCTGCACGTCCCCCCCCCCATAGCTAGCAATCCGAAACAGTCCAGTGGCACCTTTAAGACCAAGTTTTATTCAGGTACAAGCTCTCCCTCCTCTGCGAGGACAGATCTGCACGCCCCCCCCCCATAGCTAGCAATCCAAAACAGTCCCGTGGCACCTTTAAGACCAGGTTTTATTCAGGTACAAGCTCTCCCTCCTCTGCGAGGACAGATCTGCACGTTCCCCCCCCCAAAAAATAGCTAGCAATCCAAAACAGTCCAGTGGCACCTTTAAGACCAAGTTTTATTCAGGTCCAAGCTCTCCCTCCTCTGCAAGGACAGATCTGCATGTCCCCCCCCCAATAGCTAGCAATCCAAAACAGTCCAGTGGAGCCTGAGCAGTGGGTGTTGCCTTCTGACACACTTCCGGTGATGTCAGGGGGTGTGGCATATGCAAATAAATCACGCTAATGAGTTATGCTAATGAGCTCCTGCACCTCTTTTTCTACGAAATGACCCCTGGCTAAAAAGATCTATTTTTCCCCCCAACACCGTCAGTGTAACAGTCGAATTCTAAGGACTGTAGAAAGCAGAGGGCTCTCCGGTCACCTTCCAATCTAAACTGCTCCGCAGTCGCTGCGATCTCTCCCCCCCCAACGGCAGCGAGACAGGCAACGTAAGCTGCCCTTTATAACCATTGTTGACTTCTGCAAGCCCAGGGAAAGGAATGTGCTGATTGCACGGTGAAGTGCACACGATAAAAAAACGGGTCGAGGGGGCCAGGAAGGTGCCTCACCTGCCAGTCTGCTTCTGTTGTCGCCTGCCACGACGACCACCCAGTCCCTCTGGATGGTGATGGCGGTGGCGGTGCTGGCCAGATTGGCGATGTTGGCGATCGTGATGACCAGGATGTAGCACAGGGTCTGCAGGAAGGGAAAGACGTTCTCAAGCATGAGGGAAACAGAAAGTAAAGGGGGGGTGCGGGGATGATGACGAGTCCAATGCTCCCTCTAAGCTGTGGAGTCTTCTGAGCAGACATCCTACTTGGTGAGCCACTGGCATTACAGTTGTGAGCAGGGCCGGATGAACCATGAAGCAGACTAGGCACGTGCTTAGGGCGCCAGGGCCAAAGGGGGCACCACAAAGTTGGGAAAAGGGTGAAAAGCTTAGTTTATGCAGTATATGGTGTTATCATATGAATAAATTTCTGTATTCCTGCAACCTGCACTGTATATCTGGTCAGACAGGTCAACAACTAAAATGGACTGGGTCAGTGTGGAAAGGAGGGGGGCACCAAAATTGGTCAGTGCTGAGTGCACCAGTGTGCCTTAATCCGCCCCTGGTTGTGAGCGAGCGATTTGGCGACTGCATACATTACTTTGCTCTGGAGCCATCCCTTCCTGAGCTAAGACAGAAATGTGTGAGCTGGAGGCTAAAAAACAGCGAGCTGGCTCACACCGACTCAGCTTAGAGGGAACACTGACGGCGACTGCATACATTACTTTGCTCTGGAGCCATCCCTTCCTGAGCTAAGACAGAAATGTGTGAGCTGGAGGCTAAAAAACAGCGAGCTGGCTCACACCGACTCAGCTTAGAGGGAACACTGACGACGACTGTCCTGCCTTGCCCGTTCAATGGAGCTTTCAGTCGCACGCTGCAATTATCACGTCCAAATCTGGCCAAGGGCACTGTTCAGACATAAAACTGGGCGTTCAAAAAGAAAAAAAAAAGCCCCAACTCTTGGTGAGCCAGCCACTTTTGTCTGCTGATGGAGGTGTTACAAACAAGAAACACAGAGTTCGAAGGAACCTTAAGGGCCATCAACCACCTGCACGATGCAAGGAATCCACAGCTACCTCCCGTCCAATGCTCCTTCTAAGCTGTGGAGCCTTGTGAGCTGAAATTCTGCTTTGTGAGCTACCGGCATTGAAGTCGTGAGCGGGCGATCTGGCTGCTGAGTAACTTAAGTCAGCTCTGGAGCCATCCTTCCCGAGCGAAGACAAACAAGTGTGAGCCGGAGGCTAAAAAACTGTGAGCTGGCTCACACGGACTCGGCTTAGAGGGAACACTGCTCCCTCCCTGTCCCCCCAGCTCTGTGCCCAGAAGAAGGCAGAAAATCTCTAGGATTACTGGGCCGACCTGGCCTGGAGGAAAATTTCTTCCTGACCCCAAAGTGGCAATCTGGGACAAAACGGGGGGGGGGATATCTTATATACATATATAAGAATAAGGCACAGAATAAAAGTACAAATGAGGCCTCCAACAGTCTGCTCTTTGCTTAAGGACAATTCTACTGAGGACACTTTGGCTGAATAATCATAGGAAGGCAATTTCTGGACCAGAGTTTTATACCAGAGAAACACCACTTGGCACGTGATCGCACTGTTGGAGGCCTCATTTGTACTTTTATTCTGTGCCTAGTGGTCTCAGTTTGGAACAACTTTTTTCTGGTCCGTATTGATTTTAGATCTTGTATCTGCATGATTCTAGCTCCTGCCAACCTAGCAGTTCGAAAGCAAGAAATTGCAAGTAGAGAAATAGTTACCACTTGGGTGGGAAGGGAACAGCATTCCGTGCGCCTTGGTATGTAGTCATGCCAGCCACATGACCACGGAAACGTCTTCGGACAGCGCTGGCTCTTCGGCTTGGAAACGGAGATGAGCACCGCAACCCTAGAGTCGGACTCGACTGGCTTTCGAGCAAGGGAACCTTTACCTTTACTTTATCTGCATGATTGTATTGTATTTGTATATTAGCCAATATGTTCCTCATTATATTTGACCTCTGAGGAAGGCCTATGCGGGCCGAAACACATCAGGTCAAATCTATCAGCCCTTGTGTGTTATAATTTGTTATCTGTACATGAGGTGTAATTGGGCCCTTATATGTAATTTCAAAACCTTTGTTTAATAAATACATGTCTCTTTTTATATATTTCATATATTAAGCTTTTATTGTTGGCCCTCTTTTGCATTTGACTAACCTTTCTTAGGTTCTGGACCCAAAGTGGCAATCACCGTGACCCTGGGTGTATAAGAAAGGCCACAAGAACTGAGCGCTGGCTCATTCTTTGCTGCCCTCCCTCTCACATCCTGCCTAAATTCATAGAGTCACCGAATCATAGAGGGGGTTGGATAAACATATGGAGCAGAGGTCCATCAGTGGCCATTAGCCACAAGGTGGCTCAAGTGGTTAAGACACTGAGCTGCAGGCCGGAAGGTCGGTAGTTCGGCAGTTTGAGACCCGAGTGCCGCGTGACGGAGTGAGCTCCCGTCTCTGGCCCCAGCTCCTGCCAACCTAGCCATTCGAAAGCAAGAAATTGCAAGTAGATAAATAGGTACCGCTTCGGTGGGAAGGGAACAGCGTTCCGTGCGCCTCGGCGTCTACTCATGCCGGCCACATGACCACGGAGAAGTCTCCGGACAGTGCTGGCTCTTCGGCTTGGAAACGGAGATGAGCACCGCCCCCTAGAGTCGGTTTTGACTGGCTTTCGAGCAAGGGAAACCTTTACCTTTGCCTTACAGATGGAACACTCTGTCTGGGGGCAAGTGATGCTCCGTATTCTTACAAGCGCCCTTATAAATGCCTTTTGAAACCCTCCAAGTCTTCCAGGTTGCCTACTTACAAGGATCCAGCCTTGATACAAGGCCACCAGCTCGGTCTTGAAGAGGAAAACCATCATCAGGAGGATGCCGCATAAGATGACGCACGCATTCTGCACGATTAAGGACATCTGGGCCACTGTTTGGAATAAACGGGAAACGGTACAGAGAAGAACAGCCGGTTACGTGGCAGATCGTGCCTTACATCAGATTCAGGTCAGTACAGGTATATTGCTTTAATCCAGTTCTATTTCAGCAAACGCCCCAGTAAAGTTCTTCACGGCTTGGAGGTGGGGTATCTCAAAAGGCCATCTTCTCCCGTATGTTCCTGCCCAGGAACAAAGATCACAGGGAGAGGCCCCCTGGACTGTCCCATCAAACCAAGAAGCTCATCTGGTGGGTACACGAGGGAGGGCCTTTTCAGTGGTAGCCCCACGGTCATGGAACAACCTCCTCAGGGAGGTGCGGCTGACCCCCTCACTTCCAATCCGTAGGAGACAGCAGAAGACAGTTTTGTTCATGACGGCATTTGATTAGCTCTTCTGCCAACCCGCAGTCTTAAATGACTGACCTTAACTAGTGCTTTTTGTGTATCTTACTGATTGACTAGAGGGTAAGCCATCTTGAGTCCCTCTATGATAGAAAGGTGGCTAATAAATGCTTTAAATTAAAATAGATTAAATAGACCAGGGGTGTCAAACATGCGGCCTGGGGCCGCATCAGGCCCCCGGAGGGCTTCTATCAGGCTCACAGTGGAACTGGCTGTCTTCTGCTTCTTCTTCCAGTTCTGCTGCTGCTGCGTCATCGTAGGTTTGCAGCTTACAGTTACACACCTGAACAGCATACTCGAGATTGCAATGGCACAGACATTTTGATGCAATAATTCAGAGCAAGAGGTGACAGTGATCAGATATTGTTAAATAAACAAAATATTGCAAGAGTGCTAATGTTTAAAGCATGTTTTTATTTTAAGGGGGGGGAAATCCAACGTTTGTGTCCTTTATAAAGTTTATATCTCTGCTACCTGGCATTACATTCTATGACACACATGGCCCGGACCAACAAGGTCTCATTTAGGTCAGATCCGGCCCTTATAACAAATGAGTTTGACACCCCTGAAACAGACTATATATATGAAAATTTAAATATGTTCACGGAACCACGTGTAGAAGCAAGAGGCCTGGTTATGACCTTATGCACTCCTGTCCAGGAATTCCTGTCTCCAGACCAGAGGGAACATAAGACAACCTACTGGTTCTCTGAATTTTCACTACACCAGCTTTAAAAGTGGCTTTTTACACTCGAACCGTGCAATCCCATGCAGTTATTCCAGTCTAAACCTACTAATCTCAATGGGCTTAGACTGGATTAACTCCACAAAGGACTGTACTAGCAACCAATTTGCAGTTTGGTGCTAGAAGCCGCTGCAGCGAAAACAAAGGGAAAAACTCGACGATGTGTGCAGACCTGGGGCAGAGGCCATTATGCGAATGTGGGCCCCCTTAGTGGGACGGGCTCACCTCCATATCAGTATGCCGGTCATCATGCAGGCATACTTTTTTAGAAAAGCCAGTTTGATGCAGTGGTTAAGTGTGCAAAATCTAATCTGGGAGAACCGGGTTTGATTCCCCACTCCTCCACTTGCAGCTGCTGGATGACCCTGGGCAAGCCATCGTTCTGTCAGAACTGTCCTTGAAAGAGCAATTCTCAAAAGAGCTCTCTCAACCAGTGTTCTCTGTAAGCTACTGGCATTAAACGTTGTGAGCGAGCAATTTGGCTACGGCATAAATTAGTTTGCTCTGGAGCTGTCCCTCCTGAGCTGAAACAAAAATTTGTGAACCGGAGGCTGAAAAACTGAGCTAGCTCACACTAATTCAGCTTAGAGAGGGCACTGCTTTCAGCCCCACGTACCTCACAGGGTGTTTGTTGTGGGGAAGGGAAGGGAAAAGAATTCAACCTTCTTTTTAATCCAGGTTTTTCCCCCCATTCCGCAGTAAAATCGAGTTCAACCTTTTTATTCCGGGTCCCCCCCTCCCATTCTGCATTACATTCCCACCAATGCTCCCTCTAAGCTCTGGAGACTTGTGAGCAAAAATTCTACTTTGTGAGGTACTGGCATTAAAGTTGTGAGCGAGTGATTTGGCTGCTGCATAAATTTGTTTGCTCTGGAGCTGTCCCTCCTGAGCTGAAACAAAAATTTGTGAACCGGAGGCTGAAAAACTGAGCTAGCTCACACTAACTCAGCTTAGAGAGGGCACTGCTTTCAGCCCCACGTACCTCACAGGGTGTTTGTTGTGGGGAAGGGAAGGGAAAAGAATTCAACCTTCTTTTTAATCCAGGTTTTTCCCCCCATTCCGCAGTAAAATAGAGTTCAACCTTTTTATTCCGGGTTCCCCCCCCCCCATTCTGCATTACATTCCCGCCAATGCTCCCTCTAAGCTCTGGAGACTTGTGAGCAAAAATTCTACTTTGTGAGCTACTGGCATTAAAGTTGTGAGCGAGTGATTTGGCTGCTGCATAAATTTGTTTGCTCTGGAGCCATCCTCCCTGAGCTGAGACAAAAATGTGTGAGCTGGAGGCTGGAAAACTGTGAGCTAGCTCACACTAACTCAGCTTAGAGGGAACATGGATTCCTGCCCTTCAGTGGTCAGCCCAGTTTCAGGCTGCTGTTACTCTGGGTTATTTGGATGCTGTTTTGCTGATTGCCTCGATCTCGAACACTGAGAAAATCCAGATTGGCAGGCAAATGTGGAGAAGACCAGAGAACTATGGTCCAGTCCCATTCATCTGTTGCTGCTTCCCTGCCAAGCAGGGAGAAGAAAGGACTCTCATAAGAATTCAAGTCAAAGATTGGGGGTATTTTAACTATGGGTATAAATTAAACACGCATTTGTTTACAAGTGAGGCAGCACACTAAACTGCCAGCAAGCAGACATCTGGCATGCTCTGCTAACTAATTGGACGCAAGTCATTCTTCCCGGATGAACTCCGCTGAATTTGCGTGGAACCGCCACCAGCAAGAATAGGTGTTCAACCACTTGTTCTATCTCCAAAACAAAGGTGCGATTTATAAAATGCAAAGGCAGCAGTCGGTCGAGGAGGAAACACCCAGCTTGGGTAGCTTGGAGCCTCCTTTAAATGGCGCTAATTATTTAAAATTGGCCCGAAGCGGGTAATTACTTTATGTGTAAAGCAGAAAAGGCCCATAATGCATGCCAATTATTATCGAACGGCAAAGGCCTATTTCATATGACAGAGATCAAATTACTGTTTTAGGGGGTACAATCCTGTGCGCGCTTCCTTGGCGGTAAGTTCCACGGAACGCAGCAAACTTGCTTCGGGGTAAACGCGGAGACGAGGCGGAGGAGGCCGAGTTACAATTACTTTTACATTTGGAGCTGATGAAGCACTAAATTAATCCTCTGACTGCCTCTCACCCCTGGGCGGAACAGCATTCGGTTTGACAACACATTAGCATCAGCCGCATAACCAGCGTCTCTTGAAGGAACTGAGAACTTGCAAAGATATATATCTCTCTCTCCTTTTTAATAATCGAGCGAGACGTCAGGCCTTGTCTCGGGCTGCCTCAACCTCTCCGCTCTTCTTACAGTGATTTTGGCTCCCCTCGATGCGCAAAGAGGCTCTTCGGGAAAACTTGGGAAAACATCACTCACCTTTAAGCCTCGGGTTCTTGTCTACCCAGTCGCCGATAATGGCTCCCAGGAGGAGGACGGACCCGGCCACCACCAGTCCGTAGACAGCTGTCAAAAGCAAGCTGTTCCCATACAGTTCGACCAGGAAGAGAGACACCGCAAAGTGCCACATGCGATCCCCCTGGAATAAAAGACGTTTCATATTAATTATATGGAATACACACCAAATAGGGGTTAGTCAGTCCTGTAAATCCTGGGCTATTCTGCTCCTGGCTACCACAAAGACTGACTTTAAGAAGCTTTGAGTCAGGACTTTAATGGAGCGAGGCCGAGGCCTGGACTCTTAAGCATGTCAAGAGGCTATGCTATTAAAAGGGCCACTCAGTCTGAAAACTTTACACTAATAGTGTGCAGTAAATATCTTGGACATGGTCACCCCTACAGTTAAGAACATGAGGAACATCAGAAGAGCTCTGCTGGATCAGACCAGTGGTCCATCTCGTCCAGCATCCTGTCTCACACAGGGGCCAACCAGTTCCTCTGGAGGGACAACAACAGGGCAGAGAGGCCAAAGCCTTTCCCTAATAAGATCAGAAGAGCCCTGCCGGATCAGACCAGTGGTCCATCTACTCCAGCATCCTGTCTCACACAGGGGCCAACCAGTTCCTCTGGAGGGCCAACAACAGGGTATGGAGGCCGAGGCCTTCCTAAGAGCATTAGAAGAGCCCTCTTGGATTAGACCAGTGGTCCATCTACTCCAGCATCCTGTCTCACACAGTGGCCAACCAGTTGCCCTGGAGAGCCAAATAAACAGGGCACAGATGCCGAGGCCTTCCCCTGACGTTGCCTCCTGCCACTGATATCCCAAGGTTTACTGCCTCTGAACATGGAAGTTTCCTTTAGTCCCCATGGTTAGAAGCCAGCGATGGACCTCTTCACCATCAATCTTTCTAACACCCTCTTAAAGCCACCTGAAGCTGTGGCCATCACGATATCCTCTGGCAGCAAATTCCACACTTTAATCACTGAGTTAAAGTTTTACCGTTTTATTCGTGGGGAGAGGGGCATGGGCAAGGTTTGTGTACACAGGTTCAACCCCCCCCCTCCTCAGCATCTAACCAAGGCCGCCATCCCTGCCACTCATCCTCCAGAAAGACAGCAGACTGTGTACCCTCACACGATTCCTTCTTCATCTGACTCTTTTTCCGGGAAGCGTATAGCATCATACAAAGCTCATCCTGCCTCCATTTTATCCTCACAACAACCCTGTAAGGTAAGCTGGAAGAGAGAAGACGGGTGGTCCAAGGTCACTTAGGCTAAGATGGGCGGCCCTGTTAGTCTGTCTGTAGCAGCAGAAAAGAGCAAGAGTCCAGGAACGCCTGAAAGACTCACAACATTTGTGGCAGGGGAGGAGCTTTCGTGAGTCACGGCTCGCTTCCTCAGATACTTGAAATGAGCCGTGACTCACAAAACCTCGTCCCCTGCCACAAATTTTTGCTAGTCTTTAAGGTGCTCCTGGATTCTTGCTCTTTTCGACTGTCCCTTAGGCTGCAATCCTATGCCACCTTGTCTTGGAGTAAATCCTTCACAGCCCTGCTGAAAAATTGGGACCTATTTGCGGGGAGGAAGGCACAGGACAGCTGAGTGAGGATTCGAACCCCGAACCCCGTCCTAGCAAGACACGCGGACCACAACATCACACTGGCTTACTCCACACTTGGGTCCCGCACATCTCTAGTCTCTCCCCAAAGCAGCGGACGCCCCAAATGTCCCCCTCAATCAACCCCTCTTGCTGCCCTCCTTCCAAAGTTCCCCGCTTCCCTCTCTGGTTCTCTCAGCTAGTCTCCCCTGCGACGTCCCACCAGTGTTCCCTCTAAGCCGAGTTAGTGTGAGCTAGCTCACAGTTTTTTAGCCTCCGGCTCACACGTTTTTGCCATCGCTCAGGAAGGATGCTCCAGAGGAAACTCATTGATGCAGCAGCCAAATAGCTCGCTCCCAACTTTAATGCCAGCAGCTCACAAAGCAGAATTTTTGCTCACAAGGCTCCACAGCTTAGAGGGAGCATCGCGTCCCACCAAAGGTATCAGGAAGGTGTACCCGAAAGTAAGATCTATCCTGTATCTCCGGAGCACCTTAATCTCAGTGGAACAGCCACTTACATTTATGCAAAGCTTGTGTGAGCCCGAAAAAAAGGGGGAATAAAGATTGAAAATATGAAAAATGCATTTTTTTTAATGAACCCACAAAACCTTCCAGGGAGGCAGCAAGGCAGGTGTGGTGCTTGAAACTGACACCACTTCGACTTAAGTGTACCCATAAACTGATTTGGCTCATGCGCATGCGAAAGGCACTGACCAGAGCAACGGAAACTGATATTATCCTAGCAACTGAGATAGTCTGTAAGCCCCGAGAAGCAAAAAAAATTTTTGTAAAGGATCAGACGCGACTGTAATTATTTTAAAAAGGTAAAGGTTCCCTTGCTCGAAAGCCAGTCGAGTCCGACTCTAGGGTTGCGGTGCTCATCTCTGTTTCAAAGCCGAAGAGCCAGCGCTGTCCGAAGACGTTTCCGTAGTCATGTGGCCGGCATGACTAGACACCAAGGCGCACGGAACGCTGTTACCTTCCCACCGAAGTGGTACCTATTTCTCTACTTGCAATTTCTTGCTTTCGAACTGCTAGGTTGGCAGGAGCTGGAACTAGAGATGGGAGCTCACTCCGTCATGCGGCACACTTGGGTCTCGAACTGCTGAACTACCGACCTTCCACAGCCTGCAGTTCAGCGTCTTAACCACTTGAGCCACCGCAGCTCCTGTAATTATTTTACTGTTGTTCAAAAACAAGGATCCAGGCCCAGGGCCTACTGGTATCCAGCTGCTACAAGCCTACCATCAGGCAGAGGGGAGTACATAAGCAGAGTTTTCACATTTCTCCTGGCACACTCGCTGGCCAGTGTACGGCCACAGAGCATATTCAGCAGCCAACCAGGTCTCTGGAGAGGCAGGATATAAGTTTGCTAAATAAACCACTTCTGCTTTAACCATAACTTACTCCAGACCAGTGCTAATGCAGGCAACAGAGCTGTTCCACAGGGAGGGGGGGTGTAGGAAAGAGCCAGAGCCCGGCAGCACCTTAAAGACTAACAAGATATGTGGCAGGGGAGGAGCGTCCGTGAGTCACTGCTCACTTCTTCAGATACAGCTAGAATGTGAGTCCATCTGCCCTTATATCTTGGAAAGTGGAGGGATTTCAGATGCCGAATGACAAGAGAAGACAATAGCAGGTGAAGGACAATAGCAGGCATGACTGGATTAGGCATGATATGCAAAGGGTTAGTAGGCGTGGAGAAATCAGCATTGGAAATGAGACAGGAAACCTAGGCCTCGATTCAGGCCAGGAGGACGCACAGTCTTGAACGTCATTATCAGTTGCGATTCAGGAGGGAGGGGTATGGACTCTGGCCATTTGATGGATACAGCTGGCAAATGGAAGTCCCTACAGTTTTACAACGCTGAAGTCAATAGTTTCCTTATCACAAGATACCTGTGGGCTTGTGCACTGGCAGAGAGACCTCGTATACACTAAGCAGCAGATAATACACAACATGGCCATCTTACAATGCCTGCAAATATGCAAACGTACCATTGGGGAAAAAATATCCTGATAATGTTAATTCAACAAAGACTATAAATGCCACTCAAGAGAACATGTGGAAGAGCCTATTTAAAGTATAAAAGAGTAGCTTCACAATATTTTTCAGAATTTACAGTCTAAACAAGGTTCAATTGTTCTTTTTTCCCCACTGATTTTTTTGGACTTATTCGTATTCTAAAAGGTAATAAAAAAGAGACCAAGCTTATTTAATTCATTCTCTCCGGTGGGAACTCAAAGCACCTTGCTTCATTTCCCTCTCTTCCATTCTGTCCTCACAACGACCCTGTGAGGTAGCTTAGGCTAAGAGAGTGTGCAACTGGACCCAGCGAGCTTCTATGGTACAAATAAGGATTCGAATCTGGGGCCTTCTAGACACTATTTATTTCATTCCATTTATTAATCGCCTATCCCCACAATTTATTCATTTATTTTATTAGATTTCTATCCCGCCCTCCCTGCGAACGGGCTCAAGGCGGCTTACATTTAGCGGCACTATGTGCCGAGATACATTAAACATGTAAAACCAGATAAAAACAAGATAAAACAATCATATTATTGCAATCAGTGTTCCCTCTAAGCTGAGTTAGTGTGAGCCAGCTCACAGTTTTTTAGCCTCCGGCTCACACATTTATTTCTTTGCTCAGGAAGGATGGCTCCAGAGCAAACTGATTTATGCTGTAGCCAAATTGCTCGCTCACAGCTTTAATGCCAGGAGCTCATAAAGTCGAATTTTTGCTCACATGACTGCACAGCTTAGAGGGAACATTGATTGCAATCATACAACTGTGGCGCTCTAGGTGATGTACAAAGTTCTAAAAGCATAAAACGATAAAAACTTTTAACAAAACAAGGACATAATTAAGCAACATTACATAGAAGAAATTATAGACCAGAAAAACATGTCCTTCTTTTTACAACTCTTGCAAAAAAGATTTTATTAACTTTAAATGATTCATTTTGAAACCCTTATGAAAAGGCACTAAAATCACAACTCATATACAATTTCCCCCCATAGTTATGTTTTATGTATGTTTGTGTTTGTTTATAAAAAACCCAACAACATAAAAACCATGTCCAACAACGTACAGTAATTAAAAGCAAGTGGCGAAAATTTTGAAGCTCCCTCCCATGTCTGGTCTGTGAGTGCTTCATAGGTTCGGGGGGGGGGGTGTTCTCTAAGGAGTAAGGGTCCGGGAAGGGTGCCGGCCATGATATTAGCCATCGCCGTCCTCAACCAAGTGCCTGGCCGCACATCTCGGCCTTCCACCATGTTGGGGCCAGAGCCGACACTCTTAACCACCACACGACACTGGCTCTCTGCAAACTCATTTTGTGCCTATCTGACTCCTTCCCAAAGGGAAAGGTAGCTTCACACTCTGCATTTTTAGGAAGAGTAACTACAATGTTTTACAGGTATGCCTATAAAACTGGGAACGTGACAGGTGTTTATTACGCAGGTACAGTCTCATAGACAGTGTCATAGATGCAACGAACATGAAGTTGAGCAAACTTCAGAGGACGGCGGAAGACAGGAGGGCCTGGCGGGAGCTGGTCCATGGGGTCACGAAGAGTCGGACTCGACTGTGCGACTGAACAACAACAGTCTTTTTGACTGCACGCTCAGTGGTTAACCTGGGTTTGCCTCTCTGTCATGTGCTTTATATCAACCAGGGAAGTCTTTGTTTTTGCATGACTATAGGGGTTAATAGTGTTGGACTGGTATCTGGGAGACCTGGGTTCGAATCCCCATTCGTGCCATGGAAGCCTGCTGGGGGACCCTGGGCTAGTCACATTCAGCCTCACCCACCTCACAGGGTTGTTGTGAGGATAAAATAGAGGGGAGAAGAATCACGTAAGCTGCTTTGCGTTCCCCCCCCCCCACTGGGGAGAAAGTCAGGGTACCGATAAAGTAAATGAAATCTTTACAAAATTTAAATTTTCAGAAAAGTGTTTCTTGGGCTGTTTCTTTTCTAGCTACGGGGAGAGAAGCGAGGAGTCAGACATCTACGCTTTGCGCCAGGAAGCTCTAACAAACATTAACCAGAATATTAACAGGACCAGGAAACTCAGTTGCCGCATTTTGCCGCTGCACAAATTCCACCACCATCTGACAACATTCCACCGTGATCCCAAATACATTTACTTTAGAAACGAGTCCCGCTGGAATCAGAGACTTCAGTCTCCCGGCCCAATGGATCAAAAGTTCACCTGAGCAGCGATATGGATCTAGAGATCCTTCGGAGGCAGAAGAGGAGGCGCACCTGACACTGAGCGCATCGACCCACCTGCTCTGCCTTCGAAAACACAACCGATTACTCCTTTCCTCACCAACCCTGAGCTCTCGAGAGAAGGGGAAACAGGCATGCTTGGAGACTTCGACCGATTTCTCACAAGCAGCTCTGCCGCCCCCGCTCTCCCCCCCCCCCCCCCCCCACTGCATTCATCAGTTTCCCACTACTTGCTGTGCGGCCGCATTTTGACCCGCAGCATCCCCCAATTCCCCCCCACGTCTTCTAGATCCTTGTTTTTTGAGATCGAGAAGATGCCGGGGGAATCGGGGGGGATGCTGCAGGTCAAAATGCGGCCATGCAGCAAGTAGTGGGAAACTGACGGATACAATTGGTGGGGGGGAGTGCGAGGGCGGCGCAGCTGCTGGTGGGAAATCTGTCTTCGTCTCTGTCCCAAAAAGGAGATCACCCACAAAGGTGATCATGCCAGCAATATTTTATTGTTCTTGTCTCTTCCACCTTTTGGAAAAAATGTTTTATTTCACTTTAGTTTATCCCCCACTCCTGTGATCAGTTAGGGTACAGAGAATGGGATTCCTTTTAGGAATACAGGCTAGAAATCTTTTCACGGCTGTTTGTGTAAGTTAAGGATCAAGGGCTCAGTCCTCATGACTTAATGACTGCGATCCCCGAAGTGAAGCATCGTGATGCAACTGCACGTGGGAGCCAGTGCTATAGGGAAATACAGGTTGCCTGTTCTCAGTTTTTGGGCAGGAACGCACAGGAACAGAGTTCCGGCTGGCTCCCAAGTTGGCCACGCCCAGCAGGAACTCATCAGCATAATAGGCCACACCCAACAGCAGAAACTCATGAGGATTGGCTACATTAGGGGTGTGTGGCCTAACATGCAAAGGAGTTCCTGCTACAAAAAAAATATGCTAATGCGTTCCTGCTGTTGGGTGTGGCCTATTATGCTAATGAGTTCCTGCTGGGCTTTTTCTACAAAAAGAGCCCTGCCTGTTCTACTGGCTGTAGTAGAATATCTCATCTGCCTACCAGAAAACTTCACTCAAAATGTGGTGGTGGTGGTGGTGGATAGATCTGTCAAGTCACAACGGACTTATGGCAACCCCCATAAGGTTTTCAAGGCAGGAGACATTCAGAGGTGGTTTGCCATTGCCTGCCTGCCTCTGCGTAGCAACCCTGGACTTCCTTGGTGGTTTCCCATCCAAACACTCACCAGGGCTGACCCTGCTTCGCTTCTGAGATCTGATGAGATCGAGCCCGCCCGGGCCATCTAAGTCAGTGGCCCTTTCCACACTAGACCTTAAATCCCGGTTCCACCCTGTCCCCGAACTTACATTCTACACTACACACGAGTTCACCCCTGTAATTATCTCGGGGTATTTTTTTGTTTCCAAATTACATTGAGCTCACCCTGGTCCTGGTGTCGCCTCACACTAGTCCCGGAATAGACGGATGCTGTTCTAACCAGGGATAAATGCAAGGTATTGTGTTGTGAGCTGAACTCTGATAAAACCAGGGATGGGATCCAAGTGCGGAAAGGACCAGTGTCACCCAAGAAGTAAACATCTAGAATTCCAGAAAAGCCCTTTTAGCTGTTTGGGTTTTTTGTTTTATTTTTTGAGTTCAAGGCAGCAGAATTAAATAAAGAGTAATTCTCCTATTGGGAACTACAATACTTATTTGCCACTGTGGTGGACAAAATGAAGACAGAAGCCCGGCTAAACTACTCAGCTAGTAAGATAAGTCTGGAATTAGAAGAGACTACGAAGGAGGACACACCGCCATATTCATTCAGATATGCACCAGTATTTATAGCAAAACCTCACACTGCAGACAGAGACATGGTAAGTGAACATGAGGACTTATTCTTCAAATTTCAGGCCAGATGTTGGCTTTGGTGACTATTACTTTTGAGCCACAGGGTTAACATAACAGCATCTAACATTCCGTCCAATGATAACTCACTAGAACCTAGAACATTCATTTAACTTTCTTTACACACATACACATATGATTGGCAGATGTTGAGTTGACTTTAAATGCTCCCAAAACCACATTTTGTCGAGGCTTAAAAAAAAGAGAAAGCCGCCCCCCACAAATCTACCCCCCCCAGCAAACCGAATAAGATTTTAGCCCACTTCCTCATATACCAGAAAAGAAACCGCTTGGATAACCAGTTCCTAGAAATAGTTTCTGTTTTATTTACAATGTTGACTCTTGAACTTCATATCTGCAGTGATTTCAGAACAAGAAAGGACGTCTGTAAGCTTTACATCTTATTGGGAAACGAAGCAGACTGTTCAGTTAATCCCAAGCCAAAGTAAAAAACGTACTTTGTCTGGACTCCCCTTTACTCCCTTTATTTATTCAGAATATCACTCTAAGCCCATTGATTTACAAGAGCATAACTCTGATGAGAATTCCACTGTCAGACTATGGCACCCTAGACTGTGATCACTGTGAACTATGAGACTTGATTCCACGTTCAAAAGTCACAATCAGTGCGCCAGAGCACAATTTCACTAGTATGCCGTTATCTGCTTGCTGTACTGTTCTGTCTTTAAATCTCGACCGATTGACCATACGGAAAAAAAAAAGTAACTGTGAGCAAGTCGTATTCTGCAGATCAGCCAAACGTAAATAGCTTTGGTCGTGCTTCACTTACCCAGGTGGACAGGGCATGGCCAACATAGAGGAGGAATTTGGCAGATGTTAAGTAATTGCCGCAGGATCCTAAGACAGAAATAACAAAAAGAAATGCTACATGTAGTTCAAGTACAGTTTGGTGGGTCGCCGTGTGGGCCTGGAGCAACAGAACCGAGTCTGAGTCCAGTGGAACCTTTAAGACCAACAAAGATTAATTCTGGGTCGTAGCTTTCGTGTGCATGCATACTTCCTCAGATAAACCCCCACACACACCTACAGGTAATGGCTGTGAAAGTCCATTTCACTGTATCTGAAGAGGTGTGCATGCACAGGAAATCTTATACCCAGAATTAATCTCTGTTGGTCTTAAAGGTGCCACTGGAATCAAAGTTTGTTCAAATACATTTTGTTACTTCATTTCCCCTCTTTTTTATTCAACTGCGAAGTCAACATTAAAAAAAAAACCACTTTAACTATTCAGCACAGATGCTTAAAGTAATAAATGTAAACATGACCAAATGCTATTTATGTTGTCACTGGCCACCCCTCCCCTTTTTCCAAACAGACCCAAGGTGGCTTACAAAGATCAATACAAAAAAAAAACACCTTTCTAGTTTTAACACGGAGAACTCTGTCTACTGGAGAAGGTAAAGGTAAAGGTTCCCTTGCTCGAAAGCCAGTCGAGTCCAACTCTAGGGTTGCAGTGCTCATCTCCGTTTCAAAGCCGAAGATCCAGCGCTGTCAGAAGACGTTTCCGTGGTCATGTGGCCGGCATGACTAAACACCAAGGCGCACGGAACGCTGTTACCTTCCCACCGAAGTGGTACCTATTTATCTACTTGCAATTTCTTGCTTTCGAACTGCTAGGTTGGCAGGTTGCTGGAACTACAGACGGGAGCACACTCCGTCATGCGGCAACCAGGGTCTCGAACTGCTGAACTACTGACCTTCCACAGCCTGCAGTTCAGCATCTTAACCACTTGAGCCAGCCCGACAGACAGAGCACAAAGTTGGCATGCAGAAATATCCTAGGTTGGGCCCTTGGGCATATCCAGTTCAAGACCCTCAAAGAGCTGAGGTCAAGAAAGACCTTCTCTGCCCATGACCCCGGGCAGCTGGTAGCAGAGGACACCAAGGTAGATGGACCAACAGCTGGACTCAGCGTAAGGTGATTCTGTCCAGATCTCTACTCCTATACAGTCTATTTCCACTCCAAATATCGTGCACACGTCTGATACACAGCCCTGTATTATGGTACCCTCTGCCTCAGTCCCCCCTGGCACACAGTCAGAGATTATCCATGCGCTGCCAAGCACCTAAGTGTGCCGTGGTCCAGCCACACACGACTGGGATGGGACCCGTGTTTCCTCTAAGCTGAGTTAGTGTGAGCTAGCTCAGTTTTTTAGCCTCCGGCTCACACATTTTTTGTCTTAGCTCAGGAAGGAGGGCTCCAGAGCAAACTAATTGATGCAGCAGCCAAATGGCTCGCTCACAACTTTAATGTCAGGAGCTCACAAAGTAGAATTTTTTGCTCGCAGGACTCCACAGCTTAGAGGGAGCATTGGATGGGACTGACCCTTGGATGGCTTGGTTGAACCCTGCCTGTTGTTCTATACAGATGCTAAACGCAAGCACTAGTCCTTCAACACACCAAATCCGGGCACCCAAACCCACACAGGTGCCTTTTCTGGCATGCACAACTATGTGAACACATGAAGCTGCCTTATACTAGATCAGACCATCGGCCCGTCAAGGTCAGTATTGTCTACTCAGACGGGCAGCGGCTCTCCAGGGTCTCAGGCAGAGGTCTTTCCCATCACCTACTGCTTGGTCCTTTTTAACCGGAGATGCCGGGGATTGAACCTGGGACCTTCTGCGTGCCCAGCAGATGCTCTACGCGAGCCAGCTCACCTCTCCCCTGATACAGACCTTGCAATGGAAGAAATTAACTCAGACCAGTGCTCCCTCTAAACTGAGTTAGTGCGAGCCAGCTCACAGTTTTTTAGCCTCCGGCTCACACATTTTTGTCTTCGCTCAGGAAGGATGGCTCCAGAGCAAACTGATTTATGCTGTAGCCAAATTGCTCGCTCACAACTTTAATGCCAGGAGCTCACAAAGTCGAATTTTTGCTCACATGACTGCACAGCTTAGAGGGAACATTGACTCTAGACTGTCCCAGATCTTGCACCAGACCGGCAGTGAAGCGCACTCAAGGAGCGCTCTCTTTCTACCTCTCCTGCGGCCCAGAGGCAACTCGTCTCCTTCGTCACACCCTCCACCTCGCTTGCTTCCTCTGCACGCCTCGGTGTGCTGTTTATGGGAGACGGCTTGCCAGGGCTCCAATCTACATGCCAGTCACTCACCCCTAGGTGCACCAGTGGGGGAAAAGGCTAGTCGGTTGTGGAGACTATGTGCAATCCTAAACCGATCTACTCAAGAATCCTGCTTGGTTTTATTCAAGGGGGCTTAAGCTCCCAAGAAATGAGCAGGTCTAGAAAGAACTGTGCAGTGACTCTCAAAAGTGTATCTGCCCTGCCATCAATTTTGTTAGTCTTTAAGATGCTGCTGGACTCTCGCTCTTTTCTACTGCTGCAGAGGGACAAGCACAGCTACCCATCTCGAGCTTACTCCCAAGAAAGCGTTTTTAGGATTGCACTGGATATCTTCAGGTAGGCAGCCGTGTTGGTCTGAAGCAGCAGAATAAAGTTCGAGTCCAGCCGGGGGGCGCCTTTAAGACAGCGTTCCCTCTAAGCTGAGTTAGTGTGAGCTAGCTGACAGTTTTTTAAGCCTCCAGCTCACAGATTTTTGTCTTGGCCCATTTCTTGTCTTATTATTATTATTATTTTGTCTTAGGGATGGCTCCAGAGCAAACTAACTTATGCAGCAGCCAAATCGTTCGCTCACAACTTTAATGTCTAGCTCACAAAGTAGAATTGTTGCTCACAAGACTCCACAGCAGTGTTCCCTCTAAGCCGAGTGAGTGTGAGCCAGCTCACAGTTTTTTAGCCTCCGGCTCACACATTTTTGTCATCGCTCAAGGAGGATGGCTGCAGAGGAAACTAATTTATGCAGTCGCCAAATCACTCGCTCACAACTTTTATGCCAGGAGCTCACAAAGTAGAAATTTTGCTCACAAGACTCCACAGCTTAGAGGGAAGGAACATTGCTCCACAGCTTAGTGGGCGCGTTGCTTTCAGACCGTGGAAGTTTTATTCAAGGCGCACACCGAAAGCAGATAGGATCGCACTGTCAAGGGGAGGAATAAGGCACTCTGCACAAGAGCAGAGGCACTCTCTTCCGCGCCGGCACGGCTGTCAGCGCTGCATCGCTCCAAAGACCCCCCGCGCTCGGCGCACCATGCGCGCCCGGGCCAACCCTCCCGAGCGCCCGGTCCCTCTCGCGGCCGTCTCACCGCAGCATCCTCGGCCGTCGGGCTGCGCGTCGGCGCCGGGGCGGGCCATGGCTCTCTGGACTTGTGCGGGGCGGCTCCGGGCAGTTGCGCGGCGGCGGCGGCGGCGGCTCCTGGAGTTTCCTCTCCGGCGCCAAGCGGGTCTCCTCTCTTGGTGGTCTTTCCCCACTTAGCTAGCACTGTAGCTGAAGCGGGAAAGCGATGGCCTTATGGGCGGGCGGCGGCGGGGGAGCCGCGCGGCTGCGGGAGGGGGGCCCGGCCAGGTGCCCACCGCGGCTGGGGCGGCTGCTGCTGCTGCTGCGCTCTCCGAAGGCTCCGGCGCCGCTGAGCTGACCCTCCGGCCGCCGGGGCCGGCCTTTATGCGGAGGCTGGGGCGAGGGGCCGAGCGCAGAGAAAGGAGAGCCCGCCAGGCGCCTATCAGCGGCCGCCTGATCTGCATATCCCCTCCCGCCCGTCCGTCCCTCTCGGCCGCCAAGACGCGCGTCGCGGCCGGGGCGCCTTTTGGAGAGGCTTCGAGGGACCCGGGGGAGGGGAGCCCTTTTATAGGGCCCGGACGCGCCGGCCCGCGGTCTCCGCCCCGCCGCACCAGGCGCTCGGCCGCCCGCGGGGCCCCGGCGACTCCGCGCCCTGCAATG